ACTGTATTCAGGAAAGTTCTTAGCTTTGGTTTAGTCCAGTTGTGCTGACTTCCCCTGTAGTGTGTGCTGTCCTTCCCTTCACCTAAGATAATTCTTATCTGCTATCTAGTTAGTAAATAACCCTCACCCTCCCTCCCCACCCTCGTAACCATCAAAGAATGTTGTCTTCCGTGTTTAAACCTTTTCTTGAGTTCTTATAATAGTAGTCTTATACAATATTTGCCCTTCTGTGACTGACTAAATTCACTCAGCATAATGACCTCCAGCTTCCTCTAAGTTATGTTTCACAGCTACATCGTTGTTCTTTACCGTTGCATTGTATTCCATTGTGTGGCTATACCATAATTTGTTTATCCATTCGACAGACATACTTTTTATTTGCTATATCTGGTAACCCTATTTATAAAACTCTGGCATCATTAGTCCATCAAAGTCCACGCATGGTCTTTTCAGTTTTATTTATTCATTCACATAATTAGTTAATTAACTAATTAAGTAACTACTTAATTAATTAACCTCATATTCATGTCTTAGTTGCAAGTATTTTTAGTAACTGCTGCTGGAGCTACCTGCTTAAGAAACCATCTAGCAGCTGGAAGGCACCTATATAGGGCTTTGTTAATCAAATTGTAGTCTGCAAGACCAGCAACATCAGCATGAGAAAAGACTCTCAGGTCCCACCTTCCAAAAAAAACCAAACCAGTTGCCTTTGAGTTGATTCCAAAGCATTTTGTGACCCTATACGACCAAGTAGAACTGCTCCATAGGATTTCCAAGGAGTGGCTAGTGGATTTGAACTGCCGACCTCTCACACCCCAAGTGATAATCATACAGAATCTGCATTTTAGCAAGATCCTCAGGCGATGCATATGCACATTAATGTTTTAGAAGGCTGATTTAGGAATATCCCCAGGAGTGGTCTACAGGATGGATTGAAGGGAAATTGGTGCAGGCAGCAGGAATGAAAAAAAAGGAAATGAAATGAGAAGCACTGTGAAAGAAAACAATCAATGGGACTTGATAACAAACTGGATGAAGAAGGGAAAAGAAAGATGTCAGAATTAGAATATAATTCAAAAAGAATCATCAAAGTATTTCTAATATCTTTGTAAGTAACTCTCAACCTTGGCTGAATATTATTAATCATGTAGGAGCTTTAAAAAATACTGATGCCTGGGCCTCAAGCCCAGAGATCCTGATTTAATTGACCGAAGGTGAATTCTGGGCAGTAAGAGTTTTAAATGCTTCCCAGGTGACTCTAATATGCAGCCAAGGTTAAAAACCACTGATAAGGATCATTCAGTGTTTTCACTTGGAGTAGTGATTCTCAACCCTGGCTAGAAATACTTGGGGAGCTTTGGAAATATATCACTATCAGATCCTGCCCTAGAGATTCTGATTTAATTGATGATTTTTTAGAAGTGATTTAGGAAATAATATTAGAGTTATTATTCCCTCTCCTCTATCATAGAGAATGTGACCGAGCTGGAGCTGGGCTCACAACTGCTCACAAGGACTCACAAGGACACATCAACTGGGCCCTAAAGTACAAAGACAATAGCAAAGATAATCTTGGAAAACATCTTTTAGGGAAACTGTCACATAAAGCCCATCAAACACAACACAAAAGACTTTCCACTCTTATCTTTTCTATTAGCATTTAGTGAATAGAAATTTGTTGGACCAATGAAGACCCTCCAACTCTCATTACTGAAACCTGTACCAATGATTGTTAAGAAAGATAATTCAAAATGTAGGATCGCAGTTTCTAGCCAATCTGTGAAAAGGTGAAACTTTCAATGGTTCTGCCCATTTGTAATGTTAATGTATACTGATGGCTCTGAAATATTCTTTGGACTTGGGCAAACATGGCTGTGGCAGCATGCTTGCCCATTTTCCCATTCTTGCCTATTCTGTAATATTCTTTGGTCTTGGGCAGACAAGGCTGTAGCAGCATGCTTGTCCATTTTCCTACTTTTGTCTATTCTGTGATATTTCCTTAGACTCGGGCAGACATGCCTCTAGCAGCATAGTTGTCCGCTTCCCACTTCTGCCCCTTTCTGAATATATGCTGAATAAAACTTTCTTTTTGCTTTACTAAACTTTGTGATGTTTTTTCCCCTACAACAGAAGGTTCCCAATTGATTGTAGTGGGTAGCTAGGACAGAATGTTCACTTGAAATGTGCAGTTTAATTCAAAATTTATTAACTATCTTTTTTCAAATGAGTACAAACGGAAGAGGAAATTCAGTGCTGACAAAATTCAAATCTTCTAGTTAAGTAAAATATTAACCAACATATTTTCATTTGCTTGTCATAATTTCACAACAAAATTTACACAATTACTTGGAATTAGCTACAATTTCAGTTATTTCAAAACCTCATTTTGAATCCAGATGTATCAGCTGATGACCACTGCAACTGAATGAGCATTTACAAAATGAGTATTATTTAAACACTCACCTAAAATATAATATGAAGTAAATTGATTCCAACCACAACTATAATTATATATCTTAAGATAGAATAAGGCTTTCTGGGGGAGGGGAGAAAGACATGTCTGAAATTTAACTCTAAACAAAGACTTTAGTAAAGTCTCTACCAGGCTTGAACCCTATAACTAAAGCCTAAATAAAAAATATCAAGCAGAATATTTAAGTACTTTATAGTTAACTTACTGGTACAGTATCATTTCAAATGCATGCAAAGTAAAAAAAGAAGAAAAATTTTCAAAAAGAAAAGTATTTCCAAATAACCTTTTATAAAATAGGAAATTGGCTTACCTCTTCCCTATGATTCTTAATAGGCATACAGAGAATACTTTGTGTCTTGTAGCCTGTAATTTGGTCGACTTCTGCATTGAACCGAGGGTCCTAGTAAGTAAAAAGAAATTCAGTTTAATGACTGACCTGTTCCAACACTGATATGATTTTTCTGATTTATTAGAGATACCTAACCTTCGACTTACCTTGTTACTCTGAGTAACAATTTCATCATTGTGAAAGGCATCAAATCATGTAAGTATATATTAGTTTTTTTAATTTTTAAATTTTATTAATAAGAAACTTACATTACTGAGAGTAGTTTCTGATCAGCACGAATCAACCATAGTTACTGTATTGAGTTAATACAATTTTTTTCTAAAGTATAGAAACTTAATATTTTAGTTATCCTTTGAAACCTTCTCATGAGTAAGAGTTTGATTTCTACTAGGCCTTTAGAAATTCAGAAAAAGCTCATGGCTGTCTCATTGCTACCTTCAAAGATAATTCAGGAGTCCCAGCTTAAGCATCAATGCTTTCTATCTGTTTTTTTTCCACATTACCTAATAATCCAGCTTGCTTGAAAAAAAAAAAATCAATAGTATATTATTGATTGATTTAGCCATTCATTTACTTATTTAGCAAATATTTATTGAAGTCTCACCTCGAGCCTAGTTTACATTAGTAAACAAATTGGATAATGCCCTTGCCCTGGTGAAGTTTGTATTCTAATTGAGGACAGACTGTCAAAAAATAAACTGATATTGCGTATAATGTCAGGTCATAAATATGTGCTTTGGACTTAAAACAAAGTAAGAAAAGGGGAAGGGGAAAGAGGACAACTTGGTTGAGGGGGTGGGCTGCTGTATAGGAGAGGGTGGAAAGGGATGGTCTCTCTGAAGAGGTTATTTCTGATCAGTGACTTGAGGGAATGAGCCATGTGAACATGTGAGGGAAGAATGTTCCAGATAGAGTGAACAAGGACAAAGGCCCTGAGACAGGAGTGTGCTTGGTTTGAGAGTCAACAAAGAAGCCAGAGCGGCAGAGCAGAGTGAGCAAGGGGGAGAGTGGTAAGAGATGATGTTGGTGAGATAGACAGGAGCTAGAGCATGAATGATCTTGTAAGGAGTCTATTCTACAAGCTGAGGTGCCATTGAAGGTTTTTTAGGTTTGGCGACTAGAAGTGATATAATCTGAGTTATGTTTTAAAAGCCTCTCTCTGACTGCTGTGTGGAGAATTGATTTTTTTTTTTAATTGTACTTTAGGTGAAGGTTTACAGAGCAAATAGTTTCTCATTAAACAGTCAGCACACATATTGTTTTATGACATTGGTTAACAACCCCACAACATGTCAACACTCTCCCTTCTTGATCTTTTTTTTGGTGGAAATATACAAAGCCAAAGATACACCATTTCAAAAATTTCTACATGCACAGTTCAGTGACATCGATTACATTCTTCCAGTTGTGCTGCTATTCTCACTTTAGATGAAGGTT